TTGACGGCTTGAAGCCTTCAAATTGAAGGAAAGGAAGATTTGAAAAAACAAAAAAACAAGAATGTAAAGCGAGAAATCAGAACTGTAGATCCAAAACACAAATGAAACGAAAACAAAAACCCTAATTAGGATTTTTAAAAGTTGAGAAGTTGAGATTCTTGAGAATTTCAGAACGAAAGAGTGAGAAACTGAGAAGTTAGAGAGAGAAACTATGATAGATTGAGAATAGAAGAGTGACTGAGTGAGTAAAATTGTAAAACGGCTGAATGGCTGATAAAGTGGGTTTTTTTTTTCTAGGTTTAGGTTTTACTTGTTCAGTTGATCTAAGCGTCCATATTCAATCTCAACATCTAACCGTTCATTTTTTTTTTGTAGATTCCAGAATATTCATCTAGATCTAACGGTCTAGATTTTTCTTTGTGCTTTTCTAGGTCTTTTTGACCGTTTTTTTAATTATTTATTATTATTATTATTTTGAGGGATTATTATTATTATTATTATTATTATTATTATTATTATTATTATTATTGTTAGTATAATTATTTGTTAATATTATTATTATTACTAGTTTACTACTACTATTATTATAATATTATTATAATTATTATTATTATTACTATTATTATTATTTATTATTATTATTATTATTACTATTATTATTATTATTAGTTTATTACTTATAAGTTATAAATTGTAAGAAACGCAAATGTTTCAAAATTGAAATTGATTTAATACGACATAGTTAATGACTTAATGAGTTAATGCACATCAATATCTGACATCTCTATATGTATATTATATATATCTGTGAGTCTGTGACTGTATATCAGTATATATAATAAACTAATAAGAACTTAATAAGTAATAATATTAATAACTAATAAAGTAATGAAAATCTAACCATTGTTTTTCATGGGCATTCAATCTAACCGTTGTATATTTGACTATTCGTACATTAGTATTGCATAATGATTTCATCACCACTTTAATTAGTGATTTCGTGATTTCGTCCATTTAACTTATTAAGTTGTTTGAGTTAGTAATCTAAATAAAGTAACAAACTAAATAACGAATCCATTTAATCTCGTGTAAGTTATAATTTATAAGAAATGCAATGTTTGAAAATGGAAATTGATTCAATACGATATTGTTAATGTATATGTAATTACAGATTAATTATTATGTATATCATATCGTACGAATGTACGGTTGGTATCATTATCATACTATCATAAGTATCATTGCCTCATTGAATTATTGGTATGTACTATAATCAATAAACATATTTACATATCTGATTATTAAAACTTAAAAGTTTAAAACACTTGTTGATCAATCTAATTGAATACTTGTACATTCTTAATTATCGATTTATCGTATTATAAGTATCAACTCATTAAATCATGGTCATGATTTCGTGATTTCGTCCATTTAACTTATTAAGTTGTTTGAGTTAGTAATCTAAATAAAGTAACAAACTAAATAACGAATCCATTTAATCTCGTGTAAGTTATAATTTATAAGAAATGCAATGTTTGGAAATGGAAATTGATTCAATACGATATTGTTAATGTATATGTAATTATAGATTAATTATTATGTATATCATATCGTACGAATGTACGGTTGGTATCATTATCATACTATCATAAGTATCATTGCCTCATTGAATTATTGGTATGTACTATAATCGATAAATATATTTACATATCTGATTATTAAAACTTAAAAGTTTAAAACACTTGTTGATCAATCTAATTGAATACTTGTACATTCTTAATTATCGATTTATCTTATTATAAGTATCAACTCATTAAATCATGGTCATGACGCGATCTTTAAAACAATCATGAATTCATGACCCAAACCGCTTATAAACCGAACCGACATGATCCAAACCGTTCATAAACTGAACCAATTGAACTGTGTAAACCCTCCACTAAACCGACCCATTTCAAACTGAATCGACATGATTCGCACCGTTTATAAACCGAACCGATATTGACCCGGGTAAACCCGCCCCTAAACCGACCTATTTCAAACCAAACCGGCTTGATCCAAACCGTTTGTAAACCGAACTGACATTGACCCGGGTAAACCCGCCCCCTAAACCGACCCGTATCAAACTGAACCGACATAATCCGAATCGTTTATAAACCGACCCGCTTATGACCCAAACCGAATTTAAACCGCAAAGAAATAAACCGAAACCAAACCGAGCCGTGATTAACCCAAACCGAACCAAACCGACCCACCAGCTTAACTAAATCGTTTCAATCCGAACCGCTCCAAACCGAAACCGACTCAAACCGAAGTCCCACCCCTACCATCATTATTCCATGTTAGTCAAATTACATTTCCCAAGAAAAAAAAAATTAATTTTTTCAAAATATTCCAAACAATTTGTTCAACGATTTTGGGAAAAAGCTACAACATGTACCATTAGCCAATTATGGGTGTTTATTATTCGGGTAAAAACCGAAATTAATCCAAACTGAATTATTAATTCGTATTGAATTATTTTTTTAAAAAAAAAAATTGCGTTTTGAATCGGATCCAATTGACCTTATTTGGATCCAAATAACTTAATTAACTAAAATATTCACTTTAAACAAGTTATTTTACCTATAACTTATTTGGCCGGTTATTCTTTATTTATTTTTTTCTTATAAACTTGTAAAACAGTTTAATTAACTCCTTTTTTTTATGAAAATTAACTCCAAATTAATACTTTAATTATGGTTAATTTGTAACAAAATTAAAATAATTTTTTTTTTAAAAAAAATATCTCATCTCCGCTAGTAATAGCACCTTACCCCGGTGAATGGCCGACACCTAGCCCTCTCCGCCGGCAATCCCATCCAAACAACTCCATCCTCTCTTTTCTTTTCCCTTCACCCTCATCCAATTGCTACCAGCCTACCACCATCTCCACCTTCACCCTAACACGACACCCGCAACCACTGCTTCTCCTCCCACTTCAACCCACATCCCCGCGGCTTCGCCCATACTCAAACCAACGATTACTCCTAGCAGCAAAGGACCAACCCACCTATCCTTGATCTTGGTCAACTTGCAAAGCCCCCTCACTGTTCAACAAATTTCACCCAAAACCCGCAACCCATTCTGAATCTAGTTTAGCAAGAAGGGTTTAGAGTGAGGTTTGCGAAACAGTGTTGGGGTTGCAAAACGGGGTTGCGGGAAAGGGAGGGACTAGGGAGTGGAATTGAAGTAGGAGCTCTTCGCAACCGGTGGGGGGAGGGAGGGAACGTTGGCGGGAAAGAGGTCAGACGTAAAAAAAAAAGCGGAATGGCTGGTGACTGGTGGGTGGGTTTTTTTTTTTTTTTTTTTTTTTTTTTTTTTTTTTTTTTTATAATAATTAAAAAAAATATTATTTGTATTTTTAAAAATTTAAAACATTGAATTTTTTTTTAAAAAAAGAATAATTAAATTGACAACCCAATAAAACAATGCCACGTGTCCCATATAATCTGTTCACCAGGTAACTAACCGGTTCTAACTTGTTTAAAGCGGATTCCCTCAAAGTTTGCATTATTGATAAATAATTAAAAGTTTGACTTGTTTTTAATGGACTGCTCAAAATTTGTATTATTTTTGACAAATTTTCCTTGAATTAATCATGTAAAATTATGTTAATAGATAACTAATACGAAGTATCATTTATGTAAAACTATGCTTTAAATACTTGTTTTTTTTTTTTTGAATGGTTCAATACTTGTATTAATCATATACAAATATGTTTTTAACACTAAAATTTTTCTAATTGCAATTTTATTTTTATAATTACTCAAGGCCCTAAAAATTAGCAATATATTTTAATTCGGATTTTCGGATTAGATCCAAATAATCGAATTATAATTCAAATTGGATTTATGAGAAATTCAGATAGGATTGAATTTGAAGTTTAAAAACCGATTCTTCAACCGAAGAAGATATTGAACTTTTTATAGAATTTTATTTGGTGGTAAAATAAAACTTTTTAAAGTTTTGGTCGTAGAAAACAATTTCTTGATTTTTTTTGTGGTAAAAGTAAAAAATAATTCCTTATTAATTTTCATTTTTCCAAAATTTCATGAAAATGTAAAATCACTTTTTCCTCCATTTTCCTTTATTCTTTGTTTGCTAGGTTAATACTTCGTATATTAACTAGGTTAGTCCCGTGTAATGCACGATTTTATCAAAATATGTAATGATGAATATATAATCTTTAGCTATATTGAGGACAATTAATTTTTTCTATTTATTTAGGAAACAAAAAAAAAGGCGATTTCCTGTGATTAGCAAATTTGTACAATTGTACAATAGTCTGTAGAAGTATCTACTTTGTATTTGATTTTTTTTTAATAGTTGTAGTCATTATTTATAATCCAATTTTCAAAGCAATTTAAGGATATAGCTTAGCTTAAAATTAAAAAATAAAATAAATATGATGATGTCATTAATGCATAAAGGCGGGAAAAAATGTCATAAAAAAGTGACACTTATACAGCTTTGGTGTAGGATGATATCAACGGTTTCTATTTTAGTTATAGTTATTGAGCTGTCTAAAATTTATGGTTATTTTGATTTCATTAAAATGATAACTGACATAGTGACATGTCAAAGAAAACACTTTTATTTTTTATTTATTTTTTATTTTTTATAATAAAGAAAAACGCTTTTAGTTAAACTTAAATCCTTGAAAAATAAATTATGTTAATTTTAGCATAATCTATATATAGTGATGGTATTTATAGGCTTTTGGATAAAGTAATTCCTATTCCTATGAATCAGAGTCACTAAATTTGCATTAACAAATGACCAATTCTATACGTGGTTATCCTATAACTACGCAACTCCATATACCTTATAAAACAATTCTAACCACTTTTTTCTTTTAACTGTATCAATCCCACATTATCTTCTTACATCTTGCACATCATATCTTTGGTTCATCTTAGACCTTGGAGCATTCATTTGTAAACTTTGTCTTAGGAAAAATGGCTAAGAAAGTTGCTGCTTTAGTATTTTTCGCTCTATTAGGACTAGCCTTCGCCGAGGCAGCTATTATCCCCAAAACAACTACTGCCCCTAGCCCGAGTGAAGATATTGGTAATGAAGGTGGCGATGTTGGCTCTCCTTCGGGTGGATTTGCCGAGGCAGGCCCCGTTGGTGGGCCTGTCCCGGCTGGGATGTTTCCGGACACTCCAACTGACCCCTCTACGGACGGATCATCACCTACTAAGAAGAATGGTGCATCCAAGCTTGAGGTGTCTACCATTGCCGGGGTCACATTAGTTGGTTTTTCGTTGTTCTATTTTTAAGTTGGCTTGGTGTAAATAATTTTGTAACATTATTGTGAAGGTTATTGCCGAATTGCATGGTACAACAGGTGTACTACTGTTGATCTTTAGGGCTATGCATAATATAATACTTTATGTTTGTTCCTTATTAGCATTATATGAAGTACAAGTTTACAAGTAAATTCATCTTCGATTTTCTACAATCTATATAGCTTAGAATTGCAAATGTTTATGTATGGGTAATGTTAGGAGAAAATTGTCAAAAAGAGCTTGATATTTGGTAGATTTTTCAAAAATAAAACGACATTTTGATTATTACAAGATAAGTTAACCTTTGACTACGTTTGCTCAAAATAGAATGTATGTAACCGGTTGATAACATGTTTAGTAGTTTAATTATGACATGTGTCGCTATGTGACTGGAAGCTTTTTTAAAATTCTTTTTTTTTAAAAAAAAAAACATGTTTTAGTTTAATTTAAAAAAAATAAAATAAACCCCACCCAACAAGATCCCCGCCCCATCAACAAACTCCCCCTCCCCGTCAATAGCCCCCCCCCCTTCACCGACAACCCCAACCCAGACCCTCCCACTCTCTCGCCGAACGCTCTCCCTTTTACCACCCAACACGACCCCTCCTTTTCCTAAAGCAATTAAAAATATACTACTCATATTAAAGTTATAATTTTTTTTATGATATTGCTAATGAACGCCCCTGTGGTGTTAGATATCTAATATGTATCCTAAAGTGGTTTTAATTTGATAAAGCTTGCTAAAATCACGCGTCAATCGATGTAATAAATTTTAATTTTAATTTAATATGTTTACTTTTGGTTATCTTATTTAATGCCCCAAGACAATTGTTAGCTTTTACTCCACGTTCTATTAATAATGTACGAGTGTTATATTAATCTGTTAATCATACGAAGTATTAGCTTTTATAACATGTACTTAGATATTAGAATTCAAATACGCTTTTCACAAGTTAAAGTTATTCATTAAAACAGAGTTAAGTATAAAATTAGGGTCTAACCTTTTCATTTTTTCACCTTTTGGGACCTCCCTTTTTTTCACCTTTTGGGACCTCATGGGTGATGGGTAGAATCCGGCCAAAAAGTTTGTCCCTTGAGTTAAATAAGTTAGTCCCTTGGGTTAAATAAGTTATTTCCCTGAAAATGATTAGAAAGAAAATTAGTCCCCTAAAAATGATTAGAAAGAAAATAAATACCTATCCCCTCTAAAATGTTAGTCCCCTCATAAATACTTGTGCAGGTTAATTTTGCATCATAATTTCATATTACAACTTCAAATAAATTAATAAAATTCGTGAAAGCATACTATTAAAATCAGGCAATCGCAATTTCACGAATTTAAATCTTAGTTTTTAATAAGAACATTCATTAGATTTTGCTACGAATTAAACAATTTTTATTCCAAATCAAAATTTAAAATAACAATCAAAATAATAAAAAGAAATGGGACAAGAAACAAAAACTACCAAACAAATCGCTAAGTGCAACCAAATTCATCATGTAAACAAACTGAATTAAGATCAAACTTACCAATGATGGAGTGAGAATTTTTAGCCGATCGACAAAATCGTAGCCAAAAGTGTCATTTGACTTGTGAGATTTTGCAGTTGCGAGAATATGAACCGGGAGAATGTTGAAGTTGGAAATTTGAAGAATTTAATAAACTGAATTGTACGATGTATAATATACGGAGTACTATGTACAACTACATATTTCTAAATTATAATCTAATCAGTTTGAAAGTTTTTTTTTTTTTAAAAAAATTAGTAACTAATTAGGATAAAACCCTAGATTGAAAAATAAAATTTGGATGACGAGAAAAAGAAGTAATGGGAAAAACTACTCACGGCACATATGTAAAGTTTGTCATGGGAGAAGAGTTACTCGTGGCACAAATGTAAAGTTTGCCATGGGAAAAGCACTATTCGTTGCACAAATATAAAGTTTGCCACGGGAAAATATTCATGTGGTATAAATTTTTCTTCTGAAATTCGTTTTTACCGTGACTAGATGAAATTAATTATGCCACGAATTTTTAATTCTCGTGGCATAATTTGTGGCACAAGTGAAGATTTGTTGTAGTGACGGCTAGTTACAACTTTTTTTTTCTTTTTTTTTTCATTGGCATATTTGGAATATACTTTTTTTTTTATATGGCGGATGATTATTTATGAATGGGATGACTTTATTAGCTTATTTTGTGAAAAAGTTAATGAGGAGACTAACTTTTTTGGGTCAAATAGCTCATTAAGGGACTTACTTTTCTTCCGGTGGATTAAAAATGAGTTAAATGGCCAGAAAGTTAACTAGAGGTCCCAAAAGTTGAAAAAAAAAGTGAGAGGTTCCAACAGGTGAAAAAATGAAAAGATTAGACCCTAATTTTACACTTAACTCATTAAAAATTATAAATATCATTTTTAATTGACCGTCTTACAATAAAATTACTCGTAATTATACTCCGCATAATACAAGACTTATTGCTAAACGAAATGTTGTGGTTTAAAAAAAAAAAAAAAAATTAATCCGAAATTTGGCTAACCCTCTACGGTAAGTGTTCGAGTTCGAGGTTTCTCTCATTGTCGGAGTCCTATCCCCAATCTCACCATTATCACCATGTATGCTGTTGCTTTCCCAAAACCCTAACTACTGCTTAAATTCTTCTTCCTCTTTCTTCTACTTCACTATTCATCGCCTTCATTAACCTCCATTTTTACACTTCTCTCACTCACACTGGTAAATGACCTCACTTTCTCTACTCTAATTTCAGCTCAATTTTTTACTTTCAATGTCAATTAGGGTTTTCATTAATTCTATTTTTCAGTAATTTCTATGTCTATGAACTTTTATGTGGTCGAAATCACCACACTTTTCATCTTTTTGCAGCAACTGTATTCGACCTTCCATCTGCAATTCGATTATTTTTTTTTTGTCATCTTGAATATTGAATAATTAGTATTATACTCCGTATTCGGTAATTCTGTTAACTTCTGAATTTTAATATTAATTTTATGTAATTCAATTAGCAAAGCTGGAAATTTTGATTGTGTGCAAGTTCAAGGAGGTGGGTGGTTTAATTTGGGCTTAAATTTGGTGTTGGGTGGTTTAAGAAACAAGTTTTGCTTGACATTGGAGCTGAATACCTGCAAAATGCTGTAAATTTTCCTTGTAGATGTTTGAGAGTACTGATGGGCTGATAGAAAGTTCTATCAGCAATGGATAATTTTATCTGTTATTTGGTTTCCGAACTAATTTTTGAAACGTATGATTAGTTTTTGATTAAAGTCCTTCCTCGCTTGGGAACTAATTTTATTCCAAGACAAGAATTTCATGCTGCCTTTGTAGTTGAAGCTTCTTTTGTGTGTTGGGACTCGATGAATTGTCAGCTTGTTTTATGCATTATCAATTTTCCATGATTGAAATGGTGTGTTGTTATTGTTATGTGTAAATTGAAAAAGTTAACAAAGTATGGGATCCTAGAAATTGAGACTCGATGAAGTGTAGATTAAACCTTATAGTCGACAATTGTTGCATTTCTGTAGGAGCGCGCTCTTTTCAGTCTAATTTGTGATTCATAATGTTACTTCAGCTTTGTCATTTTACGACACTTTAAATCCTCAGACTGATATGTTTCATCTCAGTCTTCCCTAGGTGTCCAGTTCCATAATTGATGTTTGAAATGTTCTGTTTTGGGTGCTTAAACTTATGAACTAGGTCAGAGAATGATCATAAATGGATGCAGTATGAATTTCAGACCATATAAGCCTATTTCCTGTAATGCTTCCCGGCCAAGACCTGCTCCTTTACCTGCAAAGGCTGCGTTAACCAATGTCAGAGCTCTATGTCGACCAACTGAGGCGCTGAAATTGAATCATCCTACAGGTATATAATTTTGTTCTTGTTTCCCAAGTTTGGTTTTCCTTTCAACTATACTTTTGAATTTTTGACAGACATCAGATTGCATCTGGGAACTCACATTTCATTTCAAATACTCCGTAGTCCGTACTAGAAATTTGTTTTCCAGAATTTTGATTCTACAATTAATTAGGCAATGAAAATTTTCAATTCTCTCTTTCCACAATATGATTTCCCTTGGTCATGTTAACCTCATCTGCACTGCTTCCGCCCACATTTCTGTTTTTCTTGCTTCTGCATCATCAACTGTGTCTAGTGAATAGAGGAACATCAGGTTCTAGCTTTGATAAACGAAGGGGTATTTGGTGGTGACTGCAGTGAGGGTGGAGGAGATGGGATGGAGAGATAATGGTGTTTAGGAGTGGAGAGAAGGGGGAGAGTGCATTTGGTTGTGCTGTAGGTTTGAGAAGTGGGCTTGTGCAGAAAAAATAGAGCAGTTGAGGGGCATTGTGATTTCAAATGACAGGGTAATGATTTTAATTTCAAATCCATCATTTAATGGGCCTTTCACGCTGTGCTTGGCATTGGGACAATTCTAGATTGTAAGTTCATCATCTAAACACATCATCAAGGTATTTGGTGGCTCAGACAAGCAATAAAACTATACAAAGTTATGCTGAGAGAATCTTATCTCATGTGTTGAGGGTTTCTAGTACCCGGCAAAAGAATCCAACAAGTTCTAATCATGGTCCATTTACGTGTTTTCATTTACAATTTGTTGTTTGTGGTGCTTACCGATCATACTCACTGCTTAGTCATTTGTTATTTCCGATTTTGACATCTTTATTTATCGATAAATGGCAGGTTTTTCGTTGTCTTCTCATCTTTCAGCTTCTTCGACTCCTCTCTTGGGTGGAGAGCATGGTGGGCTGTCACACACTATTCCTCTCTTACCTAAAAGGAGAGGACACTCCATGGTACCCCGAGCAGCAAAGGATGTTCCTTATAGTTTCCGCTTTCCTCAGATGATGAAGAAGCCTCGATGGTGGTGGAGAACCCTAGCCTGCCTTCCTTATCTGATGCCTTTGCATGAGACCTGGATGTATGCAGAAACAGCTTATCATCTTCATCCCTTTCTTGAGGACCTTGAGTTTCTAACATACCCTTTCCTCCGATCCATTGGGAGGCTGCCACCCTGGTTTTTCATGGCATATTTCTTTGTTGCTTACCTCGGGATCGTTAGGAGAAAAGAGTGGCCCCACTTCTTCAGGTTTCATGTTGTGATGGGAATGTTGCTCGAGATAGCTTTGCAGGTTATTGGTACTGTCAGCCGTTGGATGCCTCAAGCAGTTTACTGGGGCAAGTTTGGCATGCATTTTTGGACAGCTGTGGCATTTGGTTACTTGTTCACAGTGCTGGAGTGTATTAGGTGTGCTCTCGCGGGGATGTATGCTGATGTTCCCTTTGTGTGCGATGCTGCATACATCCAAATTCCATATGATTAATTAGGTCTTTTGTCTGTGGATGAAGTGTTCTGCAAATGTGGAACTTACTTGAGCAGCTTGTTTAGAGAACATATCATGAAAGGACCAGTCGCTCTCATCTGTTTAAGGTGTTCTTTTTTGTGTCCTGCTCCCCTGCTGTCACATTTAATTTGTAGAATGCAGAAAGGCCATATTTTTCTGTCTAGAATGCGTATTATAGCCTTGAAGGAATTTGAGAATCGCTTGAATTTGTGCATAGTTCACGTTTGATATTTATACTGTCTAGTGACTAGAATCGTGAATTTAAGCACTAAGTAGCTTTGTGCAAATGAAACTCAGATTGGCTGGTTTTGTTTATACCTGGCTTACTGGCTATTCCTAATTGCATTTGCTGGAATGTTTACAATTTGGCATGAAGTTGTACTTCAGGTTCTTATGTCATTTAAAATAAAACTTACAGTATTCTAATTTATAAGGTATTTTATCATAATAAACTATTATAAAAAAAAAGGTGCTATTTCACTTACGTAGTTCTTTAAAAAGGTTTCTCACAAATTTTCCGCAAAATTCAATCATAATACTTGTGTGAAGATCAATTATCATGACATTAATGAGGATCACTTGGAAACGCTGGAGTCTGAATTTGTAACTTTGGTTGGACTCCTAACTGTCTTTGATCTTCTAGAAAATTGGATGATTTTTTTTTGTTTGTTTTTTAAAGCTAATGTACCACTTCCTTTTACCCTAAACCAGTAAGCCTCATGAATACGTAGTATCGTGTACCTTATGTATTTTTCTTACTACGTAAAATAATTGTCTAGACATTCTAATTTGATTTCAAGGATTGAAAGCGATTTGTGTAGCTTACATAGTAAATGAATGAAGCTAGAAATTGTTTTATATTATACCCGGGTGCACGGTGCACCCAAGAGTATTTTTTTTTTGTTCATTTCAATAATTATTGCTCATTTTATCGTCAAATGAACAAACAAAAACCCTTGGGTGTACCATACACCCGAGAGTATATGATAATTTCTTGAACGAAGGGAACATTTTTTTTTCCTCAAAACAAAAAAATAAAAATAAAATTTGGGAATAAAATGGCTGTAATTTAGCATAGCCTTTTCGACTTTTCGTTCTAAACCTATTTCCCCTCATTACTAGTATAATATGACAAAAATAAATAAATTAATAAAGTATAATTTAATTGTTTTAAACCCATAAGTAATAATTAATGAAATTATTAATTAAAAAAATAATTCCCTTAAAAAAACAAATAGTAGATAAAATCATACTTAATGATACTCGTACATGCATGCATGTATTTTTATACATGCTTTTTAGGAGCATAAAAAAAAAAAGGTTTGAAATTGGGTATAAGATCCGAAAAAGAGAAAACGGGTATGGGATGATCCAGAACAAAGTAGACCAACAAATCGGCCATCCACTCATCCCTACAGCGGTGCGGCGCTGCTATTAAGTAACTCCGCCCAACTCTCTCTCTCCTCTTTTTTCACTCTCCCGCTCCCATTCTCGGAGCTTCCACAACTTTCCATCTCTTTATCTCTCTCCTCAAATTCTGGTAAATCACATCCTTCTCAACTAATCAACAATGGCGTTGGCGTTCGATGAATTCGGACGTCCCTTCATTATACTAAGGGAGCAAGAATCTAAGACCCGTTTAAGAGGTTTAGAAGCTCAGAAATCCAACATTTCCGCCGGTAAAGCCGTCGCTCGCATCCTTCGCTCTTCTCTCGGCCCTAAAGGCATGGACAAAATGCTCCAATCTCCCGACGGCGACATCACTATCAGTTACTACCCTTACCTTTTCCTTTTCTTTTCTACATGTTGCTTGCTTTTTTATTTCTGATCTGCTTCCTATTTTTTATTTCAAATTTGGATTCAGATATTTCTAGGGTTTTGGTTTAGTTTTCGCTAGTTTAGTTGGTTTTCGGGCATCTCACTGAACAAATGAGATCGAACTCCATCTAGTTAGTTTTTTTTTTAAGCTCTTGGGGAAAAAAAAAAAAAAAAAACAGTTTTAAGTTTGAGTTTGTACTTCATAGTTTTTTTATTTTCAAAAAAAAAAAAAAAGTTTTGAGTTGGGTTTTAGTTTTAGGTCACAAAAAAGCTTAAAAATGGGTCGGATGATCCATAAAACACCGTACTATTCTTAAGTTAGAACGCTATACTAATCTCTCTACTTCTCTAACTCTCATTTTCATATTTTCGGATTTTGTACAATTCACACTATTTCTGTTCTCTCTCAAAATTCATTGCTTGTTATTCTTCTTCATCATCTTGTTCCGATTCATCTCGAAAGGCGAAAATGTCGTTTGCGGCATTCGATGAATCGGGGCGGCGATTCATAATATTGAGGGAGCAAGAACAGAAGGCTCGATTGAGTGGATTAGAGGCTGTGAAAGCTAATGTAACTGCTGGAAAAGCGGTTTCTCATATTCTTCGTACTTCACTTGGTCCTAAGGGCATGGACAAGATGCTCCAATCTCCCGACGGTGACATTGTTATCAGTTACTTTTTCTGTTTAATCTGATTTTCACTCGTTCTAGATGTTTTTGTGCAATTATTGTTTTCAAATTAGGGTTTTAAGGTGATTTTATGGTCAGATTTTTTAATTATAGGTTTAATTTTGAATTCCGATGTTAGTGCTAGGGTTTGGGTTCCGGGTTTTGTGATTTGCACTTGATTTAGTGCCTGCTTATAGCTAATTGATTGGGATGTTTGCAACTAGCTTAGAATTGATGTGCTTTGCCTTTTCTGTGAGATATTAAATGAAGGATCCTTTTAGGATTAGTTATAGTTTAGGGTTTGGAAAGATCTTAACTTTAGCAAATGAGAAGATGAATGTGGCCTTCTCCATGAACTTTTCAATTAATTACATTTTTTATTTAGTAATATAAATGATGTCATATGCATTTTTGTTGGAGAAGTTGGGTTTTTAACTCTTAAGATTTACGGGTATTGCTTTTCGAGGTTTGCAACAGGGATGAGCTAGGGTTTTAGAATGCACCTCTAGGTTTGGGTTATAGCTGGGGAGATTATTGATCAATTTGACCTGTTTTCCTTGTACATATGTTCTCCATTGGGATTCATTTCTCTAGCTACTATTTCTTTTGATCTACTGGGTATATTTCTAATATGTTGTTTGGGGTACAATGAGCTTGTTCAGCTTCTGATTCTAACCTATTCAAGCTTAAATCTCTGGATGGCTGGCTGTTTATGCCTTTTCTATTTGCTAGACAATTAAATTATTGATTATTTTTTTGATAGAGGACTAGCATCTAATATTTGAAGGATCCTAATATACTACTTATTGACAGTTATATTTTCTCTAGATGAAGTGTTGTCCATGTCCATACTGTATTAAATTATAGTACATCAATTATTAACTCTAGAGTAATCAATCTTAAAACTACATTCAACTATAGTTTTGTTCATCACTGTAGTAGACTTTTGAAATGTAAAGGTATGTCATTTTATGCAAGTTTGTTTTTCCATTCACGATTCTTACACTTACGCTATCCTTGTTTTCAGCAAATGATGGTGCTACTATCTTGGACCAGATGGATGTTGATAACCCAATTGCAAAGTTGATGGTTGAATTGTCCCGCAGTCAGGATTATGAAATTGGTGATGGCACTACTGGAGTAGTTGTCATGGCTGGTGCCCTTCTGGAGCAGGCTGAAAATCTCTTAGATCGTGGTATCCATCCTATTAGAATAGCAGAAGGATATGAAGTGGCTTCTCGGATCGCTGTTGAACATCTGGAGAAGATCGCACATAAATTCGAATTTGGAGAAACCGATGTAGAGCCTTTGATCCAGACTTGCATGACTACTTTGTCTTCAAAAATGTATGCTTACTTATCCTTCTCACGAGTCATGATTTCTAGTATTTTAAAGTGGCTATGACTTTTTACTCCCAGTCTGATTGATTTTCATTTGCCAAGCGTACTGGAGTCCATAAATTAAGCAAATCTTGATGTTGCATGATTGCCTGAGTCAGGAACTAGCTGCTGAGATAAATGAAAAAAAGAGAAAGTAGTTGGAGCGCCCTGAAATTTATGACCTTAGTACCCTGATATTTATACTAATACTGCTGTCTCAAAATATAAACATTAGCTCACATTTTAAATATAGTATTTTATATTTTGAAATTTCTCATATCACTCATGGTTGAGATAAAAATTTTATTAGTGAAGGATAGTAATACAATTTTGGCTAAGGTTGTGTTCTATTCATTTGAATTTAAATAAGATGAACTTGTATTTTCTAAACTTAATTTATTATCAGCTATCTTGATTGTAACAAACTTATTTGAATTAACTTTTTCTGAAAATGTTGAACAACCCAGAGTTTAACTATTGAATGACTTCAAATCAAATGCAGCCTATATTTAGTAATAGGAGGAGTGTTATATATTGCTAATTTATTTAGGTAATAGTGCTTATGGGTTATGTTCAATCCTCTATGTCTTGCTCATGTCAATTACACAAACTCTTGTTCATGTCAAATCAACCATGTATTGCTCATGTCAAATCTACTATTTCTTGCTCAGCCCAGATATGTGAATTTTATCCTCAATAATACTTGTTTCTATTAGCTGATGCTCAAATCAATGTGATCTTATCAAAATCAAGTTGCCGGTCACTTCTAGATTTCTTGCTGTTCTTATCCTGGTGTATGGTGTGAGGTTTTAACTCTTGGATGCCTACGTGATTATTCAATTAGAGAAAGGACTATTGCTAATTTGCAATGTCTTAACAAGTTGGATTTGTCAAATTATCTGCCCACCATCTTTCCCCTTGGAGGCACTTCTCTCTGACAGTTAATAACCAGCACTCCTTTCTGAGTGTTAACTGCCAATATGCTCCCTAGAGACAAATATGACTTTAAAATGCTTGGAGATCTCCTCTGGAATAAGTTCTATATTGCACTTTCAAATGCCAAAATTTCTTTGGTAATCTGGTCTAATGGATATTCTGTTATCGGAACCATATATTGATACCAAAGAATTACAAGTATATCCTTGGCTTTAGCTAGTGGGAGTTCTGCTCATTCATCTAGCAAGACTGCAATAGCCCATATGTCGGGCCTGTTGGCTGTCATACTTACCATGACTTGTTATTTTATATATGTGGTTGTGGTTTTCTTCATGAATCTGACTGTCAGGAACTTAAAATTATTTCTTTTTTTTTTCCAGTGTAAATCGCTGTAAGCGCAGTTTGGCTGAGATTGCGGTTAAAGCGGTTTTGGCTGTTGCAGACTTGGAGCGGAAGGATGTTAATCTTGATCTAATTAAAGTAGAGGGGAAAGTGGGAGGTAAACTTGAAGATACTGAACTCATCTATGGTATTGTTGTGGACAAGGACATGAGCCACCCTCAAATGCCGAAAAAAATTGAAGATGCTAATATAGCAATTTTAACTTGCCCTTTTGAGCCACCAAAGCCAAAAACCAAGCATAAGGTTGAGATTGACACTGTGGAGAAGTTTGAGACATTACGCAAACAAGAGCAACATTACTTTGATGAAATGGTTCAAAAGTGCAAGGTGGGTTCTGAGACATCATATATATGTTTGATAATTTTGCTGTTTCTTTGAATGATAATATGTATGGTGGCACATACTCTGTTCTAGTTACAACAATTTGTGAAATTTTTTTAAACATCCTATATCCCTACCCATTTTTGGGTCGGGATGTGCAAGGAAGCCAAGCGCTTGTATGCATGGTCGATTGGTCGTAGCTCGTAAGGGTTACTGTTACTGGTCTGCTGGAGATATATCCATTTAGCTAATTCCTTCTTTTAGATCATGGCTTGTTTAGTTTCTTTTTAAGTCTTATTCTGGTTCAGTCTTTTGATTCTATGTTCTGATGAAAAAAAGTCCTCTGTTAAGTGGATTGTGACATGAGCAGCATGTCTATGCCTATTTCTGTTTGATGACTGAGATGCTTAGAGTCTGAAGGAGTATGTTATGCTTTCAAGGATGTGCACTTTTGTAATACACATCTCTCATTTGGCGGATCTGTGAGTTGCAGGATGTTGGTGCAACTTTGGTTATCTGTCAATGGGGTTTCGATGATGAAGCAAACCATTTGTTGATGCATAGGAATTTGCCTGCTGTCAGATGGGTTGGAGGTGTTGAGCTGGAGCTTATTGCTATTGCCACCGGTGTGTGATTATGTCTTTTTCTTGCTATAGAATATGGTTTTGACCTTTGTTTAGTTGGATTGTACTTACTTGGAAATTCTATATATTTTCAGGAGGAAGAATTGTCCCCAGATTTCAAGAATTGACTCCTGAAAAGTTGGGACGGGTACGAATGCCCCTTTTGCTAAAGCTTCTTGAATAATAGTTTTAACTGAGATGTTTTAATTTCTTTTCGAAGTTAACATGTGTCCGTTTTGCTTAAGTATTGATGTCATAATGATTGCTGCAATGAGATGTGTCTAGTATCATCTTGTAATTTCCTTTGTTAGCCTCAAACAAAAACTCCTTCAAGCGTGATCCTTGTTTTGTTTGTTTATGGATTTCTTATTAGTATGTAGCTTGGCATTATAATATATTCCTGTTTTTGTTGAAATGTTTCAATTTTGTGGAACAATAGCCATAGCGACATAGGTTTCAGTCAATACCTTTCGTGAAATGATTGTTAAGTCCTTAGCTTATCATGGAAGGGTGTTTTGAGGCAGTGGTCTTAGATGTCCCTCACTGAAATATTCTTTTGAGTTATTGTGATTATATATGAATTATGAAGAGGGTTGAATTCTCTTATTTTGATGAAAAGATAACTTTCAGTGAGATTGTAGTTAGGGGTATCCAACTGGCCCGTTTCGTAGCCCTAGTGTTTGACAATTTGCTAAAAGCTACCTGAATGTGTCATTAGCCATGCCTTGCTCAACAAAGCTGAGGTTTAGCTAGAGTATTGATTCGTGTTATAAATCTTTTCAGCTGAGTAAACGTGTATCATCTAATCTCGTATTGTATTCTTCTGTAATCAATAATGTGACCTATATTTTATTACTCCTATTTTGTACTTTTATTCAAATGTGAAATTGTGTTGCTTAAATCTTTTCAAGTTTCTCAATGCCAGATAATGTGACTTATAAGTGAAGGCTAATACTTTTTTTTTGAAGTTCTCTGTGTGGCCTTTCTTTTATTCCCCTGACATAGTCCTGATATTTCAGGCCGGGTTGGTTCGTGAGAAAGCTTTTGGTACCACAAAAGATCGAATGCTGTACATTGAACATTGTGCCAATTCAAAGGCTGTGACCATATTTATCCGTGGCGGTAGGTTCATGTCTCTGTTCTAAATCTTACTTAGTTCACATCTGATACAATTTCAATCTCTTTTTTTTTTTTTTACCTAAATAGGCTTATGTAAGTTTATGTGCATGTACTTCTTTTAACTGGGTTTTTGCCCTGTTTAAATAAACATTAGCATTTGTGCTGTGTGTGCTAATTGCTTATTTAACATTATGATGCAGGTAACAAAATGATGATTGAAGAGACAAAGAGAAGCATCCACGACGCACTTTGTGTTGCAAGGAACCTAATCCGCAACAATTCTATTGTGTATGGTGGCGGTTCTGCTGAAATTGCTTGTTCTCTTGCTGTAGAGGCAGGTGCTGATCGATTTCCAGGAGTTGAGCAGGTATTAACATATTACCTTGAATATTGAATGTTTTGTAACTTTCATTTATTTTTAACTGTCTTTTCCTGTATCTGCAGTATGCTATCAGGGCCTTTGCTGAATCTCTTGATGCAGTTCCCATGGCACTTGCTGAAAACAGTGGTCTTCAGCCTATTGAAACACTGTCTGCTGTGAAACATCAGCAAATCAAGGTAACTGGCTGTGTGGCACTTAATATCTTCTACTGTTTTAGTTGATGAATTGCTTTTATGCTTAAAAAGAGACTGTGGATCAAGGCCTTTCTTTTAGAATTGCTTAACCAGGGAGTCTTGCACATCTGTTGTTTAAAATAAGAATCTCCAATTAGTTACAAAATTGCTACCTCAAAGAGCAATGTAGTATATCTGCAATTGCTGATGAGTTAAATCCTGTGTTTTTCATCTAAGGTTCCTACTGTTAAACTCTCATTTTTGTAATTCAATGAGCTTATGTAAGAAAGATGCATGAAATTTAAAAAAATTCATATGATCTGGCAAGTGGATATTCTTTCTGCTGTCAAATGTGCTGTGCATCATGTTATACCTCATATCGGTGTTTAATTTTCACTTCCCTAACAGTGATACTTTGTTTGGACTGAGAAAATTGGAGTGAAAGGAAGAGAAGAGAAAAGGGATCCATCTCCCGTGTGTTTATATAGCATTTGGTAGAAGGGAAGGGAAGGGAAATGGAAGGATTTATTTCCCCTCTTGATAAATCAAATCCTTCCAATGTTGGAAAGATTTGGAAGGAAAATGTTACCTTACCTTCTTCCTCTCCTTCCTTTTTCTTCCCTTTTCTTCCATGTTACTATCCTAACAAAAAGTATGATTTTTCATGAGACTCTTCCACTCTCCTTTAGGGGTCGTTTGGTTGGATCATTTGGAATGGGTAGGAATGGAGTTAGAATCCATTCCATCTAGTTTTTTGTTTGGTTGAGGTTTTTTGTAATGGAATTTCATACCCTAGGGGTTCTAACTCTCCCTCATACCCATGGAATCCCATTCCTACCCCTCCCCATAAGATTCACATTCCATTAAATTAATGAAGGATAGAATCCATTCCAACAATAAAACCAAACAACTTTGGACTAGTATGGGTTTTAGAATTCATACCTCTCTAGTATGGGATTCCATACCAATCCATTCCAACTTGATGAACCAAACACCCCCTTAATGGATTACTGAGTGCATGCTTGTTAGTATGAAATTGCTATGATGCATAAGTTCTTATGTGAGAATGCTGCTCATAGGCCGATAAATCAGAAAAGGAGGGGTCCATGATTTTTCTTAGTAGCCATACAGCAGATACAGTTACGAGTATATTAGTGTTTTTAATTATATATGCTTCCTTGACATTTTTCTTGCTACTATGCTGGTAATGACCTGCTGTAGGAGCAGTTGGATTTTTAATTTTTTAAACATGGTTTGGGTTTTTAGGGAACTGGTGCAGTTTAAATCCTTTTGGCGTTTCTTATGGAAAAATGTGACATTATATTTGCTTTATTTTTAAACTTTGTTTTTCATATAATCTGTGTGGAAAGTGTGAGCAATGTAGGAGAATTTACTGCATTTTGCGGGGGATTAAATTCAAGTTTGATGAATTGAAAGCTTAAGCGAGTCCCTGTTCTTGCCTTTTGGTTTGTGCAGGAGAACATTACTCACTTGGGCATAGATTGCAATGACGTTGGCACAAACGACATGCGTGAGCAGTATGTTTTCGAGACCTTGATCGGGAAGCAGCAGCAGATTTTGTTAGCTACCCAGGTTGTGAAGATGATTTTGAAGATAGATGATGTCATTACCCCATCTGAATTTTGATAGTATGTAATTTAGGTTATGTTGTGTGAGTCCTCCCCCTTCTTAAGCGTAGGTGTCATTCTATTGGGTCTTTGATGATGCTTTTGTGGCGTAAAATGGAACGTTTCTCATGACAATGAATTGAAACTCTGTTTGCCCCTAAATTTTGTATGTCGAATCTTTTTCTCTGAGTATTCTCAGTTAGACCGTCTTTTCTGATCAATATAGATGTTTATTTGTGGCTTATTGTTATCTTCATCTTTAAATCTTAATATTTCTGCATAATATTATGTATTCCGTATATAATGGAGTAACAAGTGCTAGCTTTGTGAAGCTAGATCTTGGCTTGCTGACATTTCTGCACAATTTTATGTGAGGATAAAGCTGTCAGTGTCTGATTTCATAATAAAGGCAGAATGAGTAAGTTTGCTTAAATTTTAGGAGCAGACAAAATCTAAGGCATCAAATGTTCATGTGAATTTTATAAGGGATAAAGTTGTGGTTGGAATTTGTCTTGTGATTATTTATTATGGCATTACTGTGTATGCTGCTTTCCATGTGAGATCTGACCCCATTATTGCATCCCACAAGTTTGAATGTCATGAATTCATGTTTTATAGATAGATCTATTTATGTAGTAATTCTTTGACTTGTCCTTTGTTATTTGTTGTGCCTTGGAAATTTTGGTATATGGTTTGCATTTTTTTTTAAAAATTTATATATGACGTATATGTGGATGAATGAGGCTAAAAATTTATATACGACGTATATGTGGATGAATGAGGCTCCCATTTATATACGAAGTATATGTGGATGGATGGATGGATGGATGAAACTATAGTTATAATTCCTCTGTTTCATACCATCGGACTGCTTGTTTAACTAGTTACTTTCGATGTGATCGTGTTAGCTTTAAATGCCAATGGAATATCTTCTAATTATTAACCTTATGTGCATAATCAAACACTTATATGGGGATGAGGGGAGAGCTAATTTCCTGTATATGCCCTAATCTTTTGTTTAGGATTGATATCATTATGATAGTTAGTAGATGGTTTGGTCGAGGGTGTCATTTTGTGAGCGTTTATTATTCTTTGTTGATTCGCTTGATCTAGGGATAAAGTTGTATACAACTAATCATCTGTGCTAAATAAATCGTGAACTACAAATCGAATTTGGAGACAAATTGCCGGGTTAGCAATTGCGAAAGCAGTCTTTTGGAAAGAAAAATCACTCTTATAATTATAAATTGAGCTTTAACAACACATCTGCTCTTGCTTCTTAAAAATTTCTTCAGAAGCAGGCTGAAGTTGTGTTAGTATAATTCTACTCCGAAAGAGGGTAAAATCAATAATTTTCACCCCTCCCCTTTTAGATAAATACAATTGGGGGAGCTTAGTACAATACAGTAGTAATATTGCTCTAGCAGCGAGCGCCTTTCTTGCAGTTCAGTACACCAGCTGACATGGTGATCGATCCTACGAACGAAGAAGATCTTGCACTTAAGCTGGAAGCCCTAGCATAGCTTGAGGAAGACCCTGTTCCTGAAGAAGTGAAGAAGGCTCCATTTAACATTAGGTCTCCTTGTGATCTCCAATTCCATTTCTTCCATACACTTAGTGGCCACTCTTCTCGTTTTGTAACCTACAATAATATTCAACCAAAACTTGCAATCCATTAACAAGTTATAAATATAAATATTTTATCACATCGTATGATATCTAGATTGGTAATTTATTATTGATTATTTAGCCCTTAAACCGGGCTTTTTTGTATAATTTTAAAATGTACAAATACTTTCTCCAAATCAGTTGTAACAATCTACGACGTATCATTTTAAAAATATCAAGAGTTATGTATATAAAAACAACTTCGATCTAATTTTGGTAATTAGGTGTCAAGTTTGATCTCTATCCCTAGTAAACACTAGTTTATAAAATTTGGACATTCTTAAAAAACATAAACTTCTAATTTGAGTTTGAAGATAAAAAATACCTCCTTGTTATTTGGGTCATTAGGAGCAAGGAATCTATTGCCTTGGCTGTTTATTGTAGGTGCTGCACTTCCTCCAATTGCATACATTTCCCAATGTGTATAGTCATTATTCACCACATGAAAGTACCCATGTCTACACCTGCCAAAATTCCCCATTTTGCATCAAAAAGTTAGCGTTCACCTCATACAACTGTCGCATTATAAGTGTAAACTAAATCAGCAACGTGACAACTAAATCCAAATAACACACTCGAGAAAAAGAGACAACAAGAGAATTTTAGAAGCTTTACCTCGGCATCCGTTGGACCAACCCTTCACCAAAATGGTTGAAAGCTATAGTAACTTGCATATTCTTATCTCTAGTTAAAGAATCACTATGTCCCAACAACATAACCTTGTTATGGTGGGTCATATAATTATTAGAGATTGTTATAGCAGTTGAACCACGAATAGCATCAATTAAACCATCAGTACAACTAGAGAGTGAACAATGATCAACCCAAATATGACTCCCACCAAAGATGGACACACCATCACCGTCCGATATCGTCCTCCATCCGTAGTGTGATGGGGAGTCCCGCACCATAGCATTCCCTCCACGCTTACAATCATGTATATTTAAACCATGTATTATAATGTTTGTAACATATTGTATTGTTATGCATGGACCACCAGCAATATGTACACTGGCCCCTCTACCGTCAATTGTCTTAAATGAGTTCATCATTAATTCTTCTTTAAGTTTGATCACCATGTCATGAGCAAATATGATCCATAATGGCTCATCTTGGATCACACCCCACCTTAGGGTTCCGGGTTTAGGGTTTACTGGATCGTCCCCCTTGTCCGTGACCACGTACATCTTTCCGTTTTTGCCCCCGAGCGCACCCTTGCCAAACCCTATGGCACAATCCGCTAGCCGTTGGCGGTTCTTAAACCACTTGTGGTCGCACCGCCAACAGTCGTCGATCGGGTTTCCGGTCCCACATGATAGGTATCCCAAATTCCTCCTTGTAGTTGCATTAATAATTTTCCTACAACATTGTTATAAGAGAAAAAATGTGTTACATTAGTGTAAACTCATATACATTCACTACAGTAAAATTTTCCTTAAAAAAAAGAATGTATATTGTAGGTGTAACATTCTATATTCAATTGAACTATTAGTATTTACTTTATTGTATGATGGTACACTTTTTTCAAAAAATTTGCAATTTTTAGAGAGTTTTACTTGCGAAGAAGTTTCTACTTATAAGTGTATACAAAAGTATAAACTTTTTAAATTTGTTAACCAAACAACTATCAACATAGCTGTCAACTTCCTAAATAACAACTTTTCACATTATTTTCATATGAACCAAACGACCACGAAGTATTGCGTTATGTGTGATGTACACGTTTAATTATAAATTTGAGAAGTTTAAGGACATACTCTTGTACTTCACGTGCTACTAGTTCGGGATCTTTAACATGGGAGGAGTGGATGAAAATGGGGGAAAGAAGAGAGATTAAGAGGAAGAGAAAGAAGAGATGAAATGCCATTTCTTTATTTTGTGTGAGTTTTGAACTATGTAAGCAAGGAGGAATAAAGGGTGTTTATAAAGAATTTAAAGAGGGTATAGAAATTGGTGAATTTGAGGAAACTTGATTGGGTATATAGATTGGGGCCCATGTTACTTTTTTGGTTGCTAGGATACCACAATAAATTTAGTAGTTTTGGGTTTATGGGCCACCTAGGAGGTTGAACACACCCCAAATTAGCAATGATATGCTTAATTAGCTAATTAACCTTAATACAATGTGGAAATGATGTAGGGTTTTATGAAGTTAGGAAGTTAGTTGCATTGACAATGATGCCAAAGTTGTTACTTTGGAGTTTGGATAGTTATATGTTCTTATTGATGCAAAATAGAAATTAAGCTTATTTGTAATTATTATTGTAATGATATTTCATTAGAACTACGTGTACATGATATTCGTTTATGTTTGTGAGGTGTCAAAGATTTGTATATTACTTATTAAAATGATTTTCTTTCAAAAAAAAATAAAACTTGTTAAAATAATTTTTTACTTTATTATTCCTACAAATTAAAATTTTATGTGTAATATTCATATTAGTACTTGCTTGTTAACTTAAATTACTTACCAATGGATTTTGATAATCGAAACAATAAAATTGTATTTTTAGTGCTTCAAAACAACACCTAATATTACGTATTGCATTAAAGTAACAAGATGACATGAAGAAAAAATGCAATGGATATTAAAGAATCCTACTACGTAGTAATTCAACACTATAGTACTTAAATCTACTGTGCCTCCTTTAGCTAATTTACGGTTAATGAGAGTTAGTGGCACAGAAATTGTGCATCAATAAATGAAAAATTGTAGTAGTGAGTATAAATCACATGAGATGATATTGTATCAACAAAACAGAAATATTTATATCATGGTTTCACCGACACTATGTAACCTTTGAGCCTATGTCTGTCCAAAGTTTTTATATGATAAAATGTCTCATCCTATAATAAATTCTTGTTAGTTATTTTTTTTTATTTTTCCAAAAAAATCCATATATTATTTTTATTCTTCCATGTATTTATGGACCAGGAAAAAGAGCTACTTGTTAGCTCGGAGTATTTACTTCTAGTCGATCTTCATGTCCACATTATGAAAGTCACAATTCACAAATGAAAGTTCAAATCTCAAATATTTTAGTATAGCAAAATCTATATATGTTTGTTTAGGATCGTATTAATTAATAGAGCCGAGATTCAAATGGTATTTTAAATTTTGTTCAAACTACCTACTTAACACTATTTAATCTATTATATGTAAAAGCGTATTTTAACCAATAAATAAGAGTGTTATTTTTCTTTTCTATTTTTTTTTTTGAGGAAAATAAATAAGAGTGTTATTATGTTACTCATAAAAGTTTTAGAAGACATTTTTTTTTTCTTGGTGAAAGTCTTATGAAATAATGCAAATACATAATCTAGAATAAGGGATGGCATGTTCTACCCATGTGCCCTATGTTCTCCTTTTGGACTTTAGACCTTCACAACAAACAAGAGAAATTTAAAGAAAAAAGGCTTTTTATTTTTCAAGATTGTGTTCGATTGGTGTAATGGTGTGTAGGGATATACCCATATACGTAAGTACAATATCTTTAATATCACTGAAGATAGAGATAAATGAATGTACTCCATATGTATTATGTACATGGGTATCGACTAATTTGACCCGTTTATCTTTTGTTACTCGGTCGAAAAATCCTAAATGTCGCAAATGAAGACCCTCACTAAAATAATTGTCTATGTGCTGTTTAATAAGGTCAATATACGGAGTAGCATGTAAGAGAATTAAAATGGTAACAAGGAGCATGTTTTCTTCATATTATTTTCAGTTTAATTTTTAATTTCTTTCTCTTATAAAATATTTCGTTTAGTTCGGTTCAAATCAGTTCAATCTATCAGAATTGGCCGTAACTTATATTTTTTTTAGGTGTAGTAATTTTAAAGTAAGTGAAAATAAAATAATGGAGCAATTTTTAAGTGACGAAGATAATGTACCGACACTCGCTATCACAGAACCACTATTCTAAAAGTGGTGTCTCACTCCACGTCAATGCAGGAAACTCTGGCCAGTATTTTATGCAGAAAATGCAATATGATGATACAAAAATTATTTAACGGCCTGTTCACAGCTTGTGGGGCAATATAATGGGGCCAGTAGCGTGGCAATTAATTGTAATTGAACTTCAACTTTGGTACATTGTAGGGCAAATATACAGGCCCAAAAAGAAACTGTTAATTTAGCTCTGGCTAATAAATTAAATTATAGGGCCTTTTTTACTAGTTTGTGGGGGTCATTAGATATTTGGTATTTTTTGGGGGTAGAGAGGCATAATTTGGATTTTAACCTATTGTATGTTTTGACTTTTGATGATTAATATAATTTGATGTTATATTGATAATTATGAAAAGTACTTTAAAATAAGATCTTAATTAAACCTAGGTATTCAATATTTGAGTTGAATTTAATTTAATTTAATTTAATTAGGCTAGTTTAGGCACATGACTTGTACCCTTCTTAAAGACCATAAATTTAATTATGCCGTTTGACTTTTGATTGAGTTTTATTGATATTTAATGTGTCATATATGATTTAATGTAAGAGTCTAAACAATCATTAAGTTTGACATTCTAAGAGTGAGGAATAACACATGTGGTTAGAGTTTTCTCCCGATTTCAGAAAATTCTGGGATCGATTCTCACCCCGGTCTTTTGTGACTCTAAAAAAAATTAAGTTTGACAATCTTAAAATTCTACTTCTTTGTATTTGATGTTTGAAGGTTTTTCTATTCAAACATATTGAATATAGCCATACCAAGCTAAACTTGTTCTAGTGGTAAGGATTGTACCTTCCAACTTTGAAATTGAGGGTTCGATCTTTACTAGAGACACTTAGAGGATGAGAATCCTTTAGGGTTCGATCAAAGTGTCTAACCTGCAAATGCCAGACCAAAAAACCTTGAGGGTTAAGGTACGATTGGGGTCCTTCTCCTAATCATAGATGTATCGTGTGTGGCAATAAAAAAGATTATCAAGATGACACAAATGTAGAACGTTAACACGTCAATAAACTAGGTTAGGTTAGTAATTTTTTTTTTTTTTTTGACAATATAGGTTAGTAAGATACTAACAAATGAAGAGAGCAATAAAAATGGAAATCAGAAGGCCAATTTAGACGAAAAACTTAATGCTAACAAACAAATAAATAGAGCAATAAATTGGAAATCGAAAGGCCAATTTAGACGAAAAACTTAATATGATGTTTAAATGTATACTTCAAAAAAAAAATACATGATCACTATTATTCCAATACTGTTCTACATAACATCTAGGATAATTTTCTCTCAATCTATCTACAACCTTTGAGGTCAACCAAACATTTCTTGTGGGTATTGGCTGTTTGAGTGTTTGATTAACCTTGTTATAGTCCAAGCTAAGGTTTGTAGGAATGACTAATTTCGATTCCATTAAGAGAATATAATCTGATAATCATGCATCTCACAAAGATATTAACACTTTTTATTGCAAGATAACTTTAAATGATACATAGTTGTTTAGTTTAAAAAATAAATAAATAAAACCTATCTATAGATAAGATTAAGTATGTGTGAAAATACATAATCAGAAATTAATTTATTTTAAGTAAATGTGTCAGATCTGTCTCTGAAATTTAAGGGGCTTAGAGCGAAAACTTAAAAAAGGGCCCTAAACAATAAAGCAAAGAAATATTTATTTCATATACTCGTAAAATTCACCAACAAAATTTTTATCCCCTTATATTATTGTTGCATTTTTAACTCGATTTTTTTTATTATTTTTTGAGTCACTGTATTGAAGTTTGGTAAGGTGCCAGATGGAATCCCTAGAAAATAACTCTTAGGAATAGTGTGCTACCAACTATACCCTCAAAAATATGTAAAAAATTATGTACAAAAATGTATATTTACTTTTTTACCCTCATTAATATGTTTACTCTCATTAATATATTTAACTAGATGAAGCCCGCCGTGCGATGCACGGTTTGTTTGAATTTTTTAAAATAATTTTTTTATATATATTTATGTGCTAAAATTTGTTATATATTTTGATAAAATTCTTGATATCAAAAGATAATATTTTATATTTAATTAATTTAAACCGGGAAATCTCATTCGTCAATTTTGCTTACATGACATTTGAATTATTCAACTCTAAAAGAAAATAATATTCTCTTATTTGATTGGCTACAATTGGAACTTATAACCCTACATGGTGTGCTAAGAAAATTAAATCCTATATGGCTCTCTAAAAACTCGGGAAAAGCTCCCCTTTATATATATATATATTAGATTGGTTTTTTTTCATTAAACATACCATCAATTAATGCCTTTTTTTAAAAAAAATAAAATAATTATAATGTTTTGTACTTCATATGTTATTATTATTATTTAAAAAGGAAAAAAATTGTATGTACGAATTTTTATTCCTTCGTGGTTGAAAATTTTATAGTAGTCATTTGAATTATGACTACCATAATGTTTTCATGATTATATAGTTCATAATTAACATATTTTTTCCAAGTAATTAATTATATTACTATATTTTAGGTATAAAATAGTATTATCACCAATTTTTTGATTGATCAAATTTTTAATTTCATTTATGTAATTTTTATTCTTATTTTATAGTTTATCGAAAAATATTTATTTTATGTTGGATTAAAAAATTCAAAAAGTATATTTGCGTTGTAGATATAATAAGACTAATTGTGACTATTTTATAACGTGAAATAATAAACCAATCATATTTGTATATCATTAAAATAATATGGTAGTCATTTTTCAAACGACTACTGTAAAAACATCCCCTTCGTGGTTGTTCTTCTTATTTACAATTTTGTTGTCCTTTAATTACAAATATTGTTAAGGTTTATTAGCTTTTCAATTTTACATTATTTGATGGCACGCACATAAACAACGTGGAATTTAAATGACATTCATATTAAATAATGATATTTGAGCAGATGTTATCAAGAGGTATAAATAACTTTTAAATCCTAAAATCGAGGGACATTGATGACAGAAAAAAAATGTATTAAATATGGAGAGAATTTAAGAGGAAAAACATAACTAAGTGATTATTGCTTTAGTGTTAGATATATATATATATTAGATGGTCATAGAACATTGAACTTACATTCTTAAGTTTA